TTTTTTACAACAGAAGTCCACCGTTGTTGAGTTGCTGCACAAGCTCCTAGCAAAGATGGCGCTGTGCACCTGGAGACAGAAGGAAGACCAGTGGTTTGCTGGTTCGGATCACCTGTGACGCATCCCCGTTCGGAGTTGGAGTGCTCCTCAGCCATTGCCTACCAGATGGATTGGAAGCTCCCATAGCTGATTACTCAAAGACCTTGTCCCTGGCTGAACACAACTACAGTCAAATTGACAAGGAAGCCTTGGCTGCAGTCGCAGGGATCAAGAGATTCCATGAGTACGTGTATGGCAGACATTTCAAACTTGTCATGGACCATAAGCCACTGCTGGGGCTCCTCACCGGAAACCAACAAACTGCCATACATGTCTCCAAGGATGACCAGATGGGCCATTTTCCTCACAGCATACGACTATGAGCTGATCCACCACCCAGGGAAGGACATCAGCCACACAGATGCACTCAGTCATTGCCCGTTACTGGAGCTGGTGGAAGACCTCACCTCCACTGCCACAGTACTGCTGATCGATGTCAACCCAGCCAGCCCGGTCACCACCAGGGACATCGCCAAGCACACACAAAAGGACAAAGAGTTGCAAAAGGTTCTGAACTGGGTGTTGAGGGGGTGGCCACAGGAGAAGCTGAGTGAAGAATTCCAAAGCTACCAGAGTAAGCAGGCAGAACTATCAACTATCAAGAGTTGTTTGTTGTGGGGGGAGAGAGAGTCATCATGCCCCAGAGACTGCGGAGGCAAGCCATGGAAGTCCTCCAGGAGGGTCACCCAGGGATAGTACAGATGAAGGCACTACATCTACCAGCTCTGACACTGCCTGGGGGACGCTGAACTGAGGAACCAGGGCTATTGGACCACCCCTGCCAGCTCATAACAACTCCCAGAGAACCCCAGGTCTCTGGCCCGCAGAGTATGCTCAATCATCAGCTGGGAAGCAGATGGGTCAGAACCCGCCCCACCAAGCCAGGAGATCAAGGGACGACCATCCAACCCGAGTTGCGAACACGTAGCTGCATCCGAAGCCATCCCGCGAAGAAATTTTATCTCAGGAGCTGAAGGAACCAGGCTGGAGCTCGACTCGTGGGCCGAGGAGCTTCAGAAGGTTCCTTCCCAGGCAGCCGGAGGAACAGCAAGCTGAGTGCCCAGGGACAAGTGATCTGTGCAGGTCAAGTAGGAGACTGGCATGCCCCGCCTACCTGAAAGACTACGTCACCTAGGCCGGGGATTGGACATTGTTCATTCTAGGAGGTGGTGTTATGTATACATTGTTAAATTTACATGTTTTCACATGCTTACTGGGGATTGGTTGCCCAAACCCCAGGAAGTTTAAACAACTGTCATTGGCTGGCTGGTCTGCTGGAGCTCCTTAAATGGCAAGCTCTGGCAGCCCAGTTGACAGAGCGCAGTCACTCTTNTGCCTGCAATAGCTGTCAATCTCCAAACATTGTTTCTCTGCTTCTCTCAATTGTTTGTTTTCTCCTCTACTCCTACGCACCAATACACACTCTTAGTGCAGAGGTGATATTCAGCAGGTTCTGACCAGTTCTGGAGAACAGATAGCAGAAACTTTGAGTAGTTTGAAGAACCAGTAAATACCATCTCTGGCCCCACCCCCATCTATTCTCTGCCTCCCGAGTCCCGAGTCAGGAGGGAATGGAGATTTTACATTATCCTTCTGCTGCCATACCCACCAAGCCATGCCCACAGAACCAGTAGTAAAAAAGTTTGAATCCCACCACTGTCTTAGTGGTTATTTTTGTAAGCAAGGGCCTGGGTGGGATGAGGCTGCTTACAGACATCTGTACATCCTTGAAAGTATAATTAGGGTATGGATCAATTAGCCAACCAGCTGGAAACCCAACATGGATGCTTCAAAGTAAACGTGTGAATGAATAGCTGAATGCACACATCTGTACATGACCCCATCTCTTAAGATTTTGGCCTGCGGGGGGAGTGGAATCATGAGCTGTGTTTGTTGTGCCTTGGGATGTGGGGTGCGAAGTATTTCTGCTTGATTGAAAGTGCTTTTACCTAGTGTAGGCAGCAGTCCCAAGTTCACGTCCTCACACACAAAGCATGCACGAAGCAAACCAGTACCAACCAGTACAGGAACCCACCCCTGCTCCGGAGGCAGCACATAATTACCAGAGGGCCCTGGCCCACTCTCTGCCTCCAACGCAGAGCCCTCATCTCAGCCTTCCCCAGACTCCAGGACTAGCCCATGTACCACCACCACCACCTCCTCACCATCCCACTCTGCTGCCAGTTCTGCAGACCGCCGGCAGACCATAACAGTAGACAGTTTAATTTCTTGGAGAAATAAGAGGTCACTTATTTCACATTTATTATCAATGACTTGAATGAGAGACCTGAAATGATAATTTAAGGGTTTGCAGATGGCATAAAGCTGGGGGAGGGGCAATTAACACTTTGGATCAATGAGATAAATTTCAGAAAACTTTAGACAGCCCGGAGCAGTGAGTTCCAGTGAACAAGATGGGAATTAACAGGAAGAAATGTAAAATTCTGCATCTGGGTAGGAAACCTCCGTACCCCCGCACTCACCATGTGTCTTTGGTTTTAAGCAATGGTGGGTTCCTATCACTTCAGCCTGGTTCAGCTGAACTAGTAGTGGCATGCCGGCCTGGGTCGCAGAACTAGCAGCAACCCAGGCTGGCCACGTCTCCAAACCGGGTCCCCGTTCACCACAATCGCCGTCGCCATCTTGTTTTTGAGTTCTGCACATGCGCAGAACAATTTCTACTGAACTGTGCATGTACTTGCAGCATGCATCCAGCACTTACGTGTGCACAAAGCACAGGCGCAAAGCGTGCCCATGAGCAAACCGGCAGTAACACCGGCTAGAACCCACCACTGATTTTAGGGTTTGATTTTAACTTTTTATGTCTTAGAGTTAGATGTTAGATAATTTAATGTTAGATCAACCCATGTCCAGAACCACAAGACACAATACAGTTCATTGTTTCTGAATGCATTTTGACATAGATTTCAACACATTTGTTTCCCATCCTTCTCTTTTACTCTTAGTCTTATGTCCTTATTCTGCCTTCTGAGCAGAGGTGGGTTCCTACCAGTTCGCACCTATTCGGTAGAACCGGTTCGTCAAATCTATTGAACCGGTTAGAAGAGGTTCCACCAGTGGACCCGNTTCTCTCCTTGATTAGTTTCCACCCATTGCTTCTTGTTCTACCCTCAGGTGCCTTGGAGAATAGTTTGATTCCCTCTTCTTTGTGGCAACCCCTGTGATATTGGAACACCGCTATCATGTCTCGCCTGGTCCTTCTTTCTATTAAACTAGACATACCCTGTTCCTGCAACCATTCTTCATATGTTTTAATCTCCAATCCCCTAATCATCTTTGTTGCTCTTCTCTCAGGGGTGGGTTCCTGCCAGTTCTAATCTCTTCTATAGAAGAGGTTCCACAAATCTACAGTGCTGTTTAGAACCAGTTCCAGCTCATTCCCCCCGCCCGTCCGAACATCATCAAGATGAAGGGCGAAAGGAGGAATTCTGGGAGTTGTAGTCCACAAGTCTTAAAGCTTTGAACACCCCTGGGTTTTTTTTAAAGGGTATGGGGTGCAAGGGTCTTGTAATTTGACAGCTTTAAGATTTGTGTGCTTCAAGTCCCAGAGTTTCTGAGCCAACATTTTGGTTGCTAGAAAGAGCATTGTTAAGTGAGTTTCACCACATTTTACAAGTTGGCCACGCCCACCCAGTCACATGACTGCCAAGCCATTCCCACTTGGTCACATTGCTGATGAGCCACTCCCACCCGATCACATGGCCGGCAAGCCACTCCCACCTGGTCACATGGCTGGCAAGCCAATCCCACAAAGCAGGCCACACCTTCAGAAGAGGTTCTAAAAAAATTTGACCACTGTCTTCTCTGCACTCTTTTCTACATCGTGGTGACCAAAACTGAATGCAGTATTCCAAGTGTAGCCTTACCAAGGCATTATAAAGTGGGATTAACACTTCACGTGATCTTGATTCTACCCCTCTGTTTATGCAGTCTAGAACAGTGTTGGGTTTTTTGGGCAGCTGCTGCACACTGCTGGCTCATATTTAAAAGGTTGTCCACTAGGGCTCCAAGATCCCTTTCACAGTTACTACTATTGAGCAAGGTACCACTTACACTTTACCTGTGCATTTCGTTTTTCTTGCCTAAATGTAGACCCTTACTCTTTTCACCATTGAATTTCATTTTATTAGATAGTGCCCAATGTTCAAGTTTNGGTTGAAAAACACTGGTATACAGGATAAGGTAAGGTAGATCAGGAACTATTCCTACATTTTGATCAGTAGACATGAATTTTTAAGGTAAATAAAAATTGAAAGTAATCTGTTAAAAACAATTTTCTAAATTTTACCCAAATCATGGCTGATTTTTCCTTTTTAGCAGCATTTGTATAATTCTTCTCTCTGTTTTCTGTATTTCTAACCTGCTTCTTCCTGTTCTTCTTTTCTTTCCTTCTAACTATCATTTCAACATCTCCCTCCGATTGTTTCTCGACTGACAGCTTCATCTAGCATTTCATCCCATTGGCCCTCTCTCAGTCATTATTGTCTTTCTTTATCAATTATAATCCAAATGACCTTATGGGCATATACATTTTCTATATGGGCATATACATTTTCTATACTGTAGCTCTTTCATCCAAGTCCAGCCAGTTCAGAAGACAGACAGACAAAACAGCAATGTATAAACTTGGGATTCCAAAGTGAAACATGCTAATGCACTTCAAGGAATATTACTTTGCCAAAGTCTATGGCAAAGCTATGAGCAAGCTGGACTTGGGGCAGTGAAAAAATATTGAAGAAGCTATTATTGTTTTTAAATGTATTATCTCTGCCTACTCCAGAAGACAGGATCCAACTTTTGGTATTTTGTTAAAAGCCCTGCTTAATTGCATGTCTGCCTAGCTGTCAATAACAAGTGATCTGTTGTGTTTTCCTTAACAGTTGAATATGGAAACACCCACCCAGATGACTGCCAACTGCATGGTAGAATGTGTAGTGAACTGTCTGGTTACGGAATGGTCTTCTTGGTCGGAATGTTCACAAACTTGTGGTCTTGCAGGTAATTGTGCCATTTGAATTACTATTTGCATTATTTTCAGTTTTGCCCTAGCAAAACTTTGCAAATATATCGGGTTGGAACCCCCTAAAATTTCCAGAATTTAGTGGAATTTAGTGGTCTATAATCTAGACCAGTGATGGGCAACCTTTTTGGCGTGGTGTGTCAAAAATCGGCAAAAAATCGAGCATAACTCGCGTTGTGTGNAACCTTGAGCCAGTGAGATTAGAACCGCTGAACTGCAGATAACAGTTAGCTGAAGTGGCCTGCAGTGCTGTACCCTAACCACTGCGCCACCTCAGCTCCTCCTAGTTACCAGGGGGAGGGGTTTGGGCTGCATATTGATATCTATGATTACGTGCACTTTTGCCTCAGATCTTGCTTTGCTTAGCTGCTATCTTTTCATAACCAGTAAAAGTACTCTTAATTCTGCAAAATGGATTTAAGTGGTTTCTTTCTTGGTTGCTGAGGGAGGCTGGCCTGACATTAAGCAAGATCTCACTTTTGCACTCAACCCAGAGCTAACACCTTCCGAGGGGAGTGTAAATAAAACCCAAACCTTCAAAAGAAGGTAGCGACCAGGAGGACCAGGAGGCAGCACATCATGATTCCCCTCCCAAATACCATGCCCCCCCTCCCCGTTACAATGGCAGTCGAAGCAGCAGCAAAGCAGAGGCTGACACCTGCATACCAACCTGATGGTGCTTTTTGAAGATGGAACTCACATGACACCTGAGTGATTTGCAGATTGGACTATGGGATGGGGTTACCAGGGGGAGGGAGTTGGGTCACATATTGTTATCTATGATGATGCACACTTTTGCATCAGATCTTGCTTTGCTTTTCATAACCAGTAAAAGTACTCTTAATTCTGCAAAATGGAGTTAAGTGGTTTCTTTCTTGGTTGCTGAGGGAGGCTGGCCTGACACAGGGGTGGGGGGTGTTGCATGAATAAAAAGTTGAATAAATAAATAAAAGTAGACTAGATTTAGTGAGACTTCTTTTTCTTTTTACCTCTTACGTTTGTTTATCATCTATTATATTTTGTTATGCTTTGCTTACCATTGCTTATACAAAAGAAAGCAGTGTGGTTTGATTAATCCATCAGCATTCTCAGTCATACTTCTCATCAGTGTAATTCCACATGGCACTTTAAAACAATAAAAGTAATTAAAAAATTGAAGCAGCCAACTTTACTATTCTGAAATAAGAGGGTAACACCAGCTTAATGGCTACAAGCTTACATATAAGAATTTGAAGAGCAAGAAAACTGATTAATTAGGGATTTTTAAATGGTGAAGTTTATCTCTCAGTTTTAAAATGTGCAGGTATCACATTTTTAAATAAGAAATGGTCATTCACATACCAGTCTATAGGTGGCAGCAAATGATAGTTCCTGAAAATGGATCTCTCATTTAAATTACAATAAAGCACTACGGATATATTTGGTCTTTCATGTTTTAAATTTAGTATCTGTGTGCTTTTAACCAAAGCCAGAAGAAATTGGCATGCCAAAATCTGAGGTGATAAAAGATTTTACATTAGCAGTTTAACTGCTAATTGCTTGGGTTATGCAGTTATTTATTTAGAAAAAATACATGGCCACCTGTTTTAAGTAACTAACTTTGAGAGGTTAACAACAATACAAGAAGAAATAATATAATGAAAATCCTTATATAAATTTAAAAAATACATGGTACAATTAACTCACAGCACAAGAACACACATTAGGCTCTGCTAGCATTTTAGCCCTAACATGGGGTAGGGAGGGAACCAGGTTTTTATGGCCTAACCGAAGACCACAATTTCAGAAAGGAGACTATGTCATAGGGCAGTGATGGGCAACCTTTTTGGCGTGGTGTGTCAAAAATCGACAAAAAATCGAGCATAACTCGCGTTGTGTGTCACT